CCCCAGCTCCCAGCCAATCTTTTCCCACTTCTCCTATGAAGAGGGACTTCATACTCTTCAGGTGAGCAAAACTAGTCCCTGAAACTGGTCTAACAAAGGTGGTGAACTTTTGGCCTCGAGGCTGTGGTCCCACACAATCCAAACTTCACAGAACAAATCTCCTCAGTAAAAGGTTTTGTAGGGAAAAGCCTGGACTCAGTCAAAAGGCCACACCCAAGGACCTAGAAGGCTACACGTGGCCTCAAGGCTGCAGATTCCCCACCCCTGGTAGGAGCTAGTTGAGGCACCAGAATATCCAGAAAACCCTGGAGGGTTTTTTTTTGGGTTTTTTTGAAGGTGAGGTGATAGACTAAGACAGGCATAAGGTGGTATGCTTGCAGAGACGGGGAACTGTCAGTCCTGGACCTAGTGAGAATCAATCAATGGCTACAACAGAGTTTAGGAATTTGGGTTCATGGGTTCCTCTGGCCCTGCCTGGTTACAATCTCCTGATTAATTGCAGGTTGGGCTAGTCCAAGCAAAAGCCTGGGTAGGGGCAGGGCATGTCTGCTGCCCTCCTCATTCTGTGACTCATCCTTCTCTCCCTTCCCCCTTCCCCAGGCTCTCCAGGTTCAGCATAGTAAAGAAAGGAGTCAGTCAGTCATAAATGGAAGAGACTTTAGATATCATTTATTTCAACAACCCCTCCCTTCACTTAGAGTTGAGAAAATTTGAGGCACTGAGGTTAAGTGACTTGTGTTCAAGGTCATACATCTTCTACCTGGTTAGTGGAGAGATTAGAACTCACGTTTTCTGACTCCAAGTCCAGTGTTTTCTCCACTCTACTACACTGCCTCTATATTTTGACTTATTTTAACTCTTCTTTTGCCTAGGGCTACTAGTATTGAAAGAAATCATTGCTATGTTCAAAACATTTTGACATTTAGTATTTTTCCTTAAGAAAAAATTCAAGAAGTTTGAAACAAATTGTTAAATGAAACAATAAATCTTAACCTTTAAGGGAGGCTCCCAAGGCCATGGAGGTTTTGAGCTCAGAAGTCAGTCTTGCAGAAGGGAACACTGGAAAAAGATAGCTGGGAGCTAGGCCACCTGGGTTGTGAATGACAGCTTTGGGACGATCAGGCACCTCCACAAGAGTCTCTAGGCCACTCAGTGGGTTTTGGTCTTCCCCAGCTGCCAATTAGGTACTCAGGAGGCAGAGATTTAGATTAAGGATTTCTAAATTACTTCACCCTCAGGGAACGTTGGAATAAAAGTTGGGGTTATGGGTGGTATGATTTGCCTACCAGGTTAATTCTCCCCCATAAAAAGAGTAACAAATAGAATACAGGCTCAGGAGAACTATAAATGTGGCCAGGGCAGGAGGGTGGGGTGAGATGGTGCACTGCCTGAAGGCAGAGAATGTAAAATCGGACCTAGATCTAGGAGGGAGGGGTAGATTAGTCCCTACTCCCACCTCCAGAACTCCTGGAACCACCACAGCTCTTCTCTCCAAGGAAGCCAGGTGCCTAGGTTCACTCCTCCCAGCCATCCACTTCTGCTCCCCACCCAGGGTTGATCCTCCACTCCCTTCCCCCAAATATCCCTAGTCTTCAATCCTTTACCCCCCACTCTTCCCCCGCCTCCCTTCTCCAGCCTAAGATTCTTTCCAGTCCTGTTTTCTCTGACTGTTCCCGCAGTACTAATAGGAGACACCCCACAGGCCTACACTCCCGGCCCCTCCCCTGGGGATGTGGTGAGTGGGGGAGTTAACGAGGGGTTTACGGAGTTTACCTTAAGGAGAGCGGGGCTGCGCGGGAGGGTGCTGCGGCGCCGGTGGTGGAGCTAGGAACCAGAGCTAGAGCCCGAGCTGGGTTTGGGGAGACAGGCGGGGCGGGCTTTGCCTCAAGAGGGCCGCCCAGAGACTGACGACACAGCTTCTAGCTCCCGCCCTTCAGCCTAGCGGGACTCGCCCCCCATCCCCCAGTTCTGTCCCCATTTTCCAGCCTATGTCAGGGACCCAGCTGGCTCCCCAACAGCTAGATTCCCCCGATCATTCTATTGGTCTCGGTAATCTTTGTGACGCTATTATTCATTCTTACAGCCCAAGCCCCTGACCTTAGTAAATCCTCCCATTCTCCTCCCCATTTTTTTCTTTTTATTTCTAGATCATCCAGTGACGTCCCTTCCCATTTTCACCTTTCCCTGACCCTGAAGGTAGGATATAGGAGGAAGAGCTAAGGGGCCCGGAGGACACCGCCCACTCTCCCTCTGTTGTCCTTTTTCTGATGGAGGCAGTGTCTTGGAGCCGAAATTGGTAGGCAGAGGACTTGTGTTCAGATCTTAGCTTAATACCTGGGTGACTTTGAGCACCGCATCTCTTTGGGCCTCAGTTCTGTCATCTGTAAAATGGGGGTCGAACCAGATGCCTCTTAAGTTCCCTTCTAGCTTTAAATCATTTTATGATAGCTACAGCCACCTCCTCACTTCCTCTAGTAATTTTCAAGCTCTTTTTCAGTCCGTGAATTTCAATCACCAGACACCCTCAAAATCACATCAGATTAAGGGAGCTCAGACCTAGTCTCCTCACCTGACCACAACCTCAGAGAATCTCTAGACACTCATACTATATACCTCACACACTCCACAGATTGCCAAACCCTAGATTTCTCACATCCCAAGTGACACCATTTCCTTATTCTGGGAACATTTCCACCCTTCAACTCCACTTTACTTCATGGAATATTAGGTGTGTGTCCAATGTTTCCCTCTAACCTTTTTATTCCATGTCTACTTCCTGCGCCTCTTATCTGCCACTATCCATTCTCAATCAGAAATGAGAAAATAAAAATATTGTGCTTCTCCTATCTCAGAACAGGTAGTTTGGAAGGATTGGTTCTATATCCCAGAAAAAGAGACTTCAGCAGAGAAAACACTTTGGGACCCCAGTAGATAGTGGAGCTAGAAGACTGAAAAAGAGAAATTAAAAGCCTTTGGACTTGACTTAGGGATTTAAGTATTCTCTCCAGCCCCATTTGATCTCCAATAACCAGAATTCCTTTCCTTTATTAAAGTGGGGCAGAGTAACCAACTACTGTTTCCTGAAATCTCTTCTCTCATACCTGCCTTGAAGTCTGGGGTGGGAGAGTTGTATAGACCAACCTCTTCAAATGAGACATTTTTTAATGGGATTGGAAAAAGAGATATCTAAGAAGTTCCTGTTTAGCCTCGACACAGATACACTTGGGGGATCCTCCCTTATGTTCCCCAGAAAGGAAGCTGCTAAGTAAAGTTTCTGGTAGGAAGAGGTTGCTGCTGGTTATCTTAGCTAGAAATCTGGGGCAGGTGTCTGAGAGGCAAGACTATGTAGTCTGTCTCCGTTCCTTTCCACCTTTAGAGAGAATAAAAAAATAATTCATATTTCCATATTTGAAAAACACTCTCCTTATAATGCCCCAGGGAAGAAGGGAACATTGTTCCAGTTTACAGATGAGGAAATTGAGATTCAAAGGTGAAGTAACTAATGTGTGGTCCTAGAGCTATGAGAACTGAGAAAAAAATTTCATTCCTCCACTTTATTTTTAAGTTTTCTACCTATAAAATATTATACACATGTAATTTATAATAATGTAAGCGGAAGCATAGTAGCAAAGTTGATAGAAAAGCTAGCCTAGCAGTCAGGAAGACCTGGATTCAAGTGCTGTTCCTGAGATTTCAACCTCTTTCACCGACAGTGGGCATGTCACTTCCACTTTCAGTGTGTGAGGAGGTAACTGTATAAATAAGAGACTAACCGCTAAATCTGCATGGATGGAGAAGCTTCCCATACTTTGAGTTCCCTGCAGCAATGAAATCACAGGTCAAAAAAATCCCTTTTCTAGGAATGCCTTGAACTTTCTCCTCTTTTTTATGGCCTTATAGATCTCTTTTCCCAGCAAAGAATATTCACGAGAAAAAACAAACAAAAAAGAATATTCATGAGGATGCTGGTGTTGTATTGTGGGAAAAGCAGAGAATTTTGAGTCAGAAGGCTGGGGTTTGAAGTCTAGCTATGTGACCATGGGCAAGACATTTAAGCTCTATGAAGCAGCTAGGTGGAGCAGTAAAGAGTGCTGGGCCTGGAGTCAGTAAGACCTGTGTTCAAATCCAGACCTCATACACTTATTAGCTCTGTGAACTTGGGCAAGTCAGTTAATCTGTTTGCGTCAGTTTCCTCATCTGTAAAATGGGTATGTCAATAACAGCACCTAACTCCTAGGGTTTTAGAGATAATATTTGTAAAGGCTTTAGCATAATGCCTGGCACATGGTAAGCAGTTTATAAATGTTAGCTATTATTATTAGCTATGTGACCCTGGGCAAGTCACTTGCCTCAGTTTCCTCAACTGTAATATGGGGATATTAACAGTACCTGCCTCACAGGGTTCTGATGAGGATCAAATGAGGTAATATTTATAAAGCAGTTGACACACAGTAGGTTGTATATAAATTCGCATTCCTCTCCCTTCCCTTCCCCTAGGAGCCTCAAGAGTCCCTATCTGTAAAATGGCAATATTATGTGCATTACTTACTTCACAGGGTTGTGGGAGAGACAGCATTTTGAAAGCTTCAAAGCAGTGTAGAAATATGTCATTCCTGATCTCATTTCACCCATATCCCTTTCTGACAGTTCTCTTTCTAGGAGCAGGAGCCTCAGAATGGGAAATTACAGAGGATCTCAGTGTGGAGAAGTAGGGTGAGAGTAGCTCCCATTCTCTCAGTCTAACAACACATTCTGAGACCTTCAGTGAATTACCTTTGTGTATGCCCTTCTTCAGTCTTTCTCCCCCAGCCTACCCAGCCTCCACTGCCCTGGGGCAGTGTGTGGGAAATGGGTATAATCGATGGGCTCACTGCACCACGTCCCAGGTGCACATTTCCTCTTATCGGCCACATCACAAAATGGAGCGAGAAAAAGAAACCACAGCGAACAAAGGGAGGAAAAAACAACAGCTTCATTTCTACCCCCACCCCCATTTCTCCCTTCCTCCTCTGGTGGGGGCGAGAGCCACACCCCAGCCTAAGCTAGGGTCGGCAAGTCCCCCAACGGGCTGTTAGACAAGTGAGTTTCACTTCCTGCCAGCCCCAAAGTTAGGGCAGGATGTCTGGGGGTGGAATGAGGTACAAGAGGAGGGGCCCTCGGCCCCACGTTAGGCAAGCCCCGAGGGGAGCTGCTGTAGGTCTCCTGAGTTTCCCTTTTGCAAAGAGACTGAACTGAAAGGGTGATCCTAACCTGATGAAACTATGCCAAAAGAACCACTGAGTTCTACCAGTTTTTCCAGGTTCCCCCTCCAGTTTCAAGCACAAAGGCTACTACGGATGTGGGTGTGTGGAAGGAGAGGATAGAGTGGAAAACATTAGGTGGGAGAGGATTGGGGGAAGGAACGTATACGTGTTAATAGTTGCAAATTAAATGCAAAACAGCATCCAAATGAATGCTGCTTACTCGGCAGTCATCTTAGCTGGGCAGCCGCTGCTGGGTGCAAGAAGGAAGCTGCTGATTTGTTAGGTTGGGACCTCCAATAGTCGTATTTCTAAGTAACGGAATGTTCATGTGTGGCATATTGTTATTGTTACTCAGTTTGAAAAAAGGGCTTCCAAGTGATTTAGTTCTAGCCCGAAAGCTTTCCGTCTTCCCCCGACAGGGAGGACTCTTGGGCATTAGCCTTAGCCAAAGCAGAAGGATGAGGCAGAAACAATTTCCGTGGTAAAGTGCTGCATAAATGTCAGCAATTTGCAGACAGTGAGGGGTGGGCTGGGGTAAAGGAGAGGAGAAAAGCGAAGACTGGGAGGGAGAAACCAGCAGCCAAGGGCCTTCCCAGCCTCCGAGGAAGCAAGTCGAGACGGAATTTAGCTTGGGGGACGTGGTCGAGGGCGGGAAGATTTGCAGTTAGTAAAAGGGGAGGGGAGAAGGGCAGAAATGGGGAGTGCTGGAAGGGCTGCAGGGTCAAGCCCAACCCCTCCGATCACGCCCCTCCCTCCTTCCCTCTTTCTCTTTCTTCCCGCACCCTCGGGGTAGAGCCGTAGACCAAGAGGTGGGAATCTTTTGCAGAGGAAGAAACTGAGGCGGGGAGGGGAGGGGAAAGGTGGGGGCGGGGAGGAGAGGTTTAGGCCGGAAGGGAGCGTAGAGGAGGTCACCGAGCCCAGCCCCTCCGCCGAGACTAGTCCAAGGTCACCGGGGGAAGGAGGAGCGGGGTCAGGATTTGAACCGAGATCTCCGGCCTCGGCCGAGCCGGGGAGTGTCGTGGAGGCGCCCAGCGCAGGGCCCCGGAGCTGGAGGATCTCGGCGGCCCGGCCCCCTCCTCTGGAGAGAAGCGCCCTCAGGTCTCCTGTTTCATTCATTCCCAGACGCTGATCGAGCGCCGACTCTCTGCGGGGCGCGCACGCCGGCGGCCCGGGCCTGCAGCGTCTCCTTTCCTTTCGTCTTTGCGGCGCCGCCCGTCGAGGGATGTCGTCCAGCCGCCAGCCCGTTCCCGAGGACGAGCTGAAAGGTACGGGCCCCTCTTAATAACCCTCTCCGTTTTCTCGGCCCTCTCTTAGCCTCGGGCATGGAATCCAAGGGCGCTCTGTCCCTTTAAGATGAAAATGGCAGCTCGCGACCAGGCCCGGACTCCACTTCCGGTGGAGAAGGGGGCGGGTCCTGGGGGAGGTTGTCACTCACGCCGGAAGTGGTTCTCGTTTCCAAGATGGCGACTCCCTATGTAACTGACGAGACCGGCGGTGAGTGCGGGCGGTGCAGAGTCTCCTCTCCCCGGGCCTCTGGGGGTGGGGGTAGAGGTGGAGGGCGGACTTGGAAGGGACCTGCGCCCCGCCCATCCCGGGGCCCCTCCCCTGTTCCCGCCCCCCCGGACCGCCTACCCCATTCATTCGCTCCTTCGGGGCTGCATCTGCGCCCCCTTCCGGTCCTGTGGCGCCGGGGTCCCTCGGCTTCCGGTCACCCAAACCCTAGTCTAGGGTCTCTGCTGGCCAGGGCTAGTCCCCGGGCCTCTGTTGAGCCCTGGGGGTCTCCACTTGGCCCCCAGAGCTCCTTGAGTTCGCCAGCCCGCGGAGCGCTGCCCGTGTCCCTTCCAATCGCCCCCCTTTAGCTTCACTCACCTTAGGTGTGAAGGATTGGGAAGGACCCTCTTCCTTCTGGCCCTTGCTCCCTTGTACCGACTCTCTGAGCTTTTTCTTTGGAGACCTAATCGCCAACGTGGGCCGATTTCAGCATCTCCTCTACCTTCCCCGGGAAACTGTCAGCCTGGGCAGGGAAGGGATCAGTCAAGTCAAGTCAACAAGCACTTACTAAGTTCCCACCGTGTGTCAGGCACTGTGCTAAGACCAGAACACAAGTGTCCCTGCACTCAGCCTGGTAATCAAACTACTGTCACCCTTCCGTAGCTCTCTGTCGCACTGAACTGTAGAAAAGAATTGTATGAAGGCTTGCTGGGGGCTGGGCAGTAGCAAGCTTGTGCTAGGATGAGGACCTGGGAGAAGACAGAGATGGAGAAAGTGAGGTCTCGTCCTTAGATGGTATTGGTCCTGGTCACCCATTCTGCTCAAGGACCAGAGGGAGGAAGCTTCTAGCCTGGTTATCCAAACAAAATGTAGAGTACATGTTGTGTATACGTATTCCCATGTAGAGTAGACATTGCATAAGTCATGAAATCATTCATACCAAATACACTATAAAGTCATGTTCTCTAACCTTAACTGAGCTCTCACTGTGGTCATCTTTGACTCCTTGCAGTAACTATTCCAAAATTTCTCTTTTAAAACCTCCAACTCCAGACCCACCTATTTCTCAACAGAACCTCCATTCCTCCTATACTGAGACTATGAAGGCTGTCATTCCTAAGTTTTCTCATCCCCCTTCCTCAGAACCCTGCCTATCCTTTTCTCCTTTGCTATAGTCTCAGTGGATGAGGCAATGGTTCTCTCTGCCATTTGTGCCCCTGATCCTAGTCCTTGCTATCTCCTTCGGGAGCTTCCATATTAATTAATTACTCTTGCACTCTCATCTTTAATCTCTCCCTATATGATTGTTTCCTGATAACTAAAAATATTCCCAGGTCTCCTTTAAAGAACCTGCCTTTCATTCTGCCACTTCCTAGTTCTCAAACTATTTCCTATTTTTCTATTCCCTCTTACAGCTAAAGTATAAGAATGACTAGTCAACACTGGATGCCTCCACTTACCACCCATTCACTCCTCAGCCCTTTCAGTCTAGTTTCTGACCCCAGCATCCCATTAAAATTGGCCAATGATTTTTCTGATTGTCAGATTCAGTGGTCTATCTCAGTTCTCGTCCTTGACCTTTCCACTGCATTCAACAGCTGCATTGATTATCCCTCCTACTAGATGCTCTTAATGTCCTTTGGCTTCTTTGACACTGCTCTATTTTGGTTCTCTAACTCTCTCCCATTACTCTTTTTCTCTTTTCTTTGCTGATTCATCCTCCACCTACTCCCTAAGAATGTCCTAGGGTCTCTTAAAATTGAACTCAGTATCTTCTCCCACCAAATTTGTCCTTCCTCCAGACTTCCTGATTTCTGAAGATGCCCCCACCCTGGATCCTTAACAACCTAGGTTTAGAACCTCTGAATTTTCTTGCAACCTTGCCTCTCTTCCATCCCCAACATCCAGGCAATTGCCCATTTCTGTTGGTTCTCACTCTCTGTCATCTCTACTCTAATTTCATTTTCATCCTTTGTACTGCTGCCACTCTAATTCAGTTCTTCATTACTTTTCTCACATGAAGTCCTTTGTAATAATCTGACTGGTTTCCCTCCATCCTTTTGGTCTCTTCTCTCACCAGCCCATCCTTCAGGCAGTTGTCAGAATGAGTTTCTTAAGCCACGAGTTTGACTTTGTCTCTCCTTTACTCAGAAACCTTTAGTGACTCCCTGTTGCCTTTGAAATTAAATACAAATTCATCCCTCTGCCTGCCATTCAGTGCCCTCCACAATCTGCTCTGATCTACCATTTAAACCTTATTTTACCTTATTCCCCTTTACACCCTGTGAAACTGGATTGTGAACAGTTGGCTGACTTTGATCTGCTGTTTCCTATCTCCATGCATTTACACAAACCCTCTACCATTCCTAGAATGTACTGCCTCCTCATTTCTGCCTCTCAGAATCCTTTCTTCAAGACTTAGCTCAGGTGCTACCTCCTTTAAGAAATCTTTTTTTTTTCCTTTGGTGAGGCAGTCAGGATTAAGTGACTTGCCCAGGGTCACACAGCTAGTAAGTGTCAAGTATTTGAAGCCAGATGTGAACTCAGGTCCTCTTGACTCCAAGGCCAGAACTCTATCCACTGCAACACCTAGCTGCCCCAAGAAATCTTCTTGAATCCTATCTCTCCACCCCCCCACCCCTCTCCCCACACACGGCCAGAAGTATTATTTCTGTTCTCATTTTAGAGCACTTTGGATCTCTTCTTTTCCCACATCACAACCTACCTTTTATTGTAGTTAGCTGCATATTCCTACTTATACTATGTTTCCCCTTATTTTATACTACTTGAGTATTTGTATATATTGTATCCTTCCTACCTCCAACACCAGTAGAATGTAAACTTCTTAAGACAAGGAACTGTCGTAAATTTAACTTTGTATCTTCAAGGTCTAGCATAATTTCTCGTTTATGACAGATGCTTATACATACTATCTATTACATACAATTGAGTTGTATGTTAAGTGTGCTCATGTGACACATGCATAATGTGTTTTTAAGATATGCCAAATGCGCTTCTTGCCTTGCTGTTCAGTAGCCCTTTTATTCTCCTCTTGTTTCCCTGTTTGGTTCTCCACAACAGCTTTTCCAAAACATTTTCTCTCTTAAGCTGACAAAACCCTACCCCTACTTCCGTATTCCTGACAGATGACTTGGGTCACCTCTACCCAGAAAAGATTCAGGCCCTTAGCTCTCCATTACCACACTTCAAAATTCTTTAGGGTCTTCCCCTGTCTCCTCTCCTCCTGGTTAAAAGAAATATGTATTTCTCTTCTTTACCAAGATTAAAGCTGATAGATGATTATTTTGATACCATATGTCTGTCATGTCTCATCTTAAGACATTGCTGTATCAGGAATCCCACTTTCCCTTCTCCCTCCCTTTCTCTCTTTTTTTTCTCATTTTTAAACATTTTTATTTAGTATTTTTCCCCCAGTTACATGTAAAAACAATTTTAACATTCCTTTTTAAAACTTTGAGTTCTAAATTCTTTCCTCTTTTCCCACTCACCCCCACCCATTGAGAAGGCAAGCAGTTTGATAAAGGCTATATATGTGTAGTCTTGCAAAACATTTCCATAGTAGTCATGTTGTGAAAAAAAAAAAACCAGACCAAATGAGAGGGGGCAAGCTCAAGAAAAATAAAGAAAACAAAAAAGTATGCTTCAATCTGTATTCAGACAAGATCAGTAATTTCTCTGGGAATGGATGGCATTTTTCATTATAAGCTCTTCAGAGTTGTCTTGGATCGTTGTATTTCTGAGAATAGCTAAGTCATTCATAGCTGTTACTTTGTACACAGTATATTTCACTTCGCATCAGCTCATGCAAGTCTTCCCAAGTTTTTTTGAGAGCATCCTGCTAATCGTTTCTTATGGCTTGGTCTTTGAGAGGTTGCTGTATTTGTCCTTCTCCCTGACATCAGGGAGATGATGGCATGACTTGCAATTGACTTTGATTTGAGTGAGGGAAGGCTGTGCAAGGTCACCAGCCTCATTTTCTCCTCCAGAGCCGTCTGGGTCTAGTGGCGAGATATAGATCAGGATGACTGGAGATGGCCCCAGATGCAGTGGGAGACCTTGGCCTTCTTAAGCTAAGGTCTTCTCAAGTTCTCACTTTGAGTGAGGCTTCTCCCTCTCTCCATTATCTCTTGCATCTTTGCCTGACCACTAGTCACTAGACCACTACCTACCTTAAAAACAAACCTTTTGTTTTCCTTTATGTCCCCTGATAGTACCATCTTCTCCTTCCTTTCACCATTAAAATTCGTGAAATAAATAATGTTTGATAGTTCCACTCATCATCTGATTAGTTCTTAAGCCCTTACAGTCTGCCTTTCCTCCCCAACACTGTACTGAAACTCCTCTCTAAAAGTCATCAGTAACCTTAGTACTATATCCAACAGCCTTTTATCAGTCTTCATCTTTCTTGACCTCTTCAGCATCAGAGATTACTGACCATCCCTTCTCCTTTTGGGTCTTTTTAAAAAATGATTGATACCTTTTGTTTCTTTTCCATTACATTTTCTGATATGCCACTTACCCACTGGGAACCCTCATAACAGAGAAAAGCACACTAAGCAAGATTAACTGACAAGCAACTTCATCAGCTGATTTTGTATACCACTTTCTGCACCCATAGCCCCCCACCTCTTTACTTAGAAACATCCCTCCTTAATGCCTTCTTTCCTCTTTTGTTTCTATAACACTATACCTTCCTAGTTCTTAGAGTCTAAACAATCGCTTGTTGCATATGTTGTGTGGATTCCTTTTGTAT